GATAGTTCTGAAAAGAACTGTTGTTGGTTGAGAATATCTCGACGTTTCGATTGAGTTGCTTCAATTCGTCTTCAGGAGAATAATGAAAAGCTCTAGAAATATTCGGCTTATTGATTAGTAGATCTATTTTTGTATTACTGTGTATTTAGTCCCAATTTTTATATTCATAATTGAGTACTGTTTATATTATCTCAATTTTTAGATTTATATTTATAATTCATTATTTGTTGTTTGTGTTTTAATTCTTTTATATAAATTCTAAATGTAATTTTATAATGGTTATTTAAAATGAGTTCAGCTGTGTGTGCATTAGACAGTGGCACCGAGAGGCCGGGACTTACGTACGGGGTAAGTAACCGGGTCCCGGGGATGACAAAGGCCGGGATGCTGGGTTTAAAAAAATACAATAAATAAATAAAATTATTAAACGTATATACATTCATCCAGTATTATTCATGTGTTTTTTCCATGAGACTTTTAAATAACTGATCGTTTATCGATGAAAGCTCGTAATATTTTTTGCGGTATTAATCAATAATTATCAAAAGCTCGGAACCTGGTCATATAAGTTAGAATATACGAATAAACCTGAGATTCGATTGTCAAATAAATACTGAAAAAAAATAAAAATAAAATTCTACTCAAATTTTAAGTCTAAGAGTGCCATTTCCGGCCGTCCAGAGGTGCCATAACCAATAATGTTCGTACCTCAGCCCCGACCATGGAGAGCTGAGGTCAATAAACTCTCCATCTGTAAACGTCCTTCTCTGGGCCCTCTAAATTCCTGGATCCGCCACTGCAAACTTCGATATGCTATAAATCTTTTCAGCTCTACGTTTCAATGAAAAGAAGGATAACTTTTACTTTTCATATTTCCATACTTTATTTTATGCCCTGATAAAATTAAGGGGTCTACCAACTCAGCATCCAGTGGAAAAAAACACAACACATTTCAACACACTTTACGTTTTCCTGACATACGAAATACATTATTATCTGTTTACCTAATCATGTCTCCATTCTGCTATCTTACAGGATCGATATTTTCATAGGTTATTATTTAAATGGGACACATCAGATATTTTAAGGCATATTATCCAGGTTAAAGTTGGCTTTGAAATTAAGGACAACAGAAGCTGTCACTTGAATCTGCTTAATAGGCTTATTAATATTAATACATGAAAAATCAATAGGGGCCTATTGTTTTGGCCACTTGCGCTCGAAGAAAGACACTATGCTAGGATTTTAAACTTTGTGATCGATATTTTCATAGGTTATTATTTAAATGAGATATTTCAGATATATGCCTGAGCTACATATTATCCAGGTTAAGTACGCTTGGAGAGGACAACAAGCTGTCTATTAGGCCTATTTATATTAATTTTTTTAAAATCTTTAGGGGGCATATTGTTTTGGCCACCTGCGCTCGAAGAAGGGCACTATGCTAGTAACCTATTTTAAATTAGCGTTTTAATAATAGGCCTAAATATCCCGTGTTGTATTCTATCAATCAGGGTAATGGGCTACCTCATTTCAGGGGAAGCTGCAGGGAGTGGGGTGCAGACGGTGCGATCGACCCACCCCTTCCCTAAATTGTATTAAGAAAAATAATTGTTGTATATTGTATTGTATTATTGATATATCATTTTTATCATTATGAACATGGTACCAGTAAGATGTTTAAAGTATGAGAGTACAATTTCCGTGTACCTGAAGGTCCATTCTCAATTGTTCTCACCTCACGTACCCCCTACCACCAAATCCTGCATTATTATTACTATTATCATAATTATCATCACCATGGCCATTATCATAGTCATTATTATTATTATTATTATTATTATTATTATTATTATTATTATTATTATTATTATTATCATTATTATTGTTATTTTTTAATTAATCTTTATTAAAGTGAAAAATCTTCTTAAATATTATAAAAATATGAGTTTTGAGTAAAACAATACCATCCTCTAGAGCTTGATCTAGGCCTATATTAGGCTAGCAGTTCAACCCCTATCTTCTCCCCTGTTACAATTCTTGAAATCGGCAACGTTTCAACTCGATAATTGATGTCGCCTGTCTTAAAGATGACGAATGACTCCGGATGCGATAATGTATGCTAATAGTCTCTAATAGAGCTATTATACTCTCGTTAGTATATCAAAGGCCCAAACTCTCTCCTTCGATAACACGTAAATGTGTGTTCTAAATAAGTAACATCCGTATTTTCATTTGAGTTGTTACGAAAATGACATGTCAAATAATATCTGCTTTTGACAGCACCTCGAGTCGGCAATCATAATCAAGGTTATGCGTACTTGTACCATATTTCTCCATCAATGTCATGCATAATTCATTTATATGTCTAAATGTATGAGCTTTTCCTACCAAATTTACAAACTTAAGGTATTACATATCATGTGGTCTAGACAATAATCGGCTGCAGTCCCGGACAATAGGTATATTAAGGAATTTTTCGTTGAATAGTTGTCCGAATATATGATAAGAATATAAACATCATTATCATATTTGAGCAGTTATTATACATACTTCCACACACACACACACACAAACACACACACACACACATGTATATATACATATATATATATATATGCCTATATAATTATATATATTAACAAATGATAAATGATAGAACAATGTTTGAATATGTATTCAAAAATAACAACTTATTGTCTGATTATTTCTTATTTGACAATGTCAAATTCTCCTCCTCTCTACATTTTATTTTAACTTTCCCTTATTTGACAAAACTTGGTCCTCTAGCGTTCATAGTTGTGATCAATTTCATGGTGCTTTAAATAATTCAAATACAAGTAAGAACAAATATGTAGACGATATATAAGCCTTGTTGAAGTATCTCCATCTAGAACCCAGTAAAATTCAGAAAGATGATTGGTCAGTTCAAAATCACTTACAGTTAAATATAGACAAGTGCAAATCACAGTAGATTTGTTTCAAGAGAACTCTCCTTCCTACTCCATCAATCTATATTGGTACAAATAATGCCGTAGCCATGATTTTCAAACAGTGTGGGAAAATATTCAAATAATGTGGACCCATTCTTAAACGTTGCTCCGTTTTACGCAAAAATATAAATAATCTGGACCCATTTTCTTAAAAATTGGCCCATTTTGCACAAAATATGAGAAATCTGACCAATTTAAATGTGGAATCATTCTTTGCCTGGACCAAAGAGAAAAAGTGTGTGGGACTGTCCCAACTGTCCCAGTAGTTGGCTGCGTCAATGGGTACAATCCAGGGCTTCACTGTTCCCTGGTACAAACGAACTTGATATTGCAACCAACACTAACATCCTTGGTGTCTTAAAATAGGATATGCAGGTAGATTCAATGGTCTTAAAAAGTAATAAGAAAATGTTTTCACTTAATAGATTGAAAAAGTCTGGAGTTCCTTCACATGGCCTAATACTAGTTTATCTTGGTTATATCCGATAAATATTTTTATGTGATTGTACATTGTTTTTTAAAAGTTTTATGCGAGCATTTAGTTTCCTTCGTTGAAGGACGAATACAGTTTTACTTTGACCTTGACTTTGCGTGTAATTTTTGCTCTCTAATATTTCCATTGGACAAGATACAGCTTGAAAGAGTCAAAAAATGTTATAATTACTGATGCATGCTTTTAATCCTTTAGGTTTAGGTAGTTTTAAGTAATGTTTTTACATGTTGTATAAATTATTTTCTCTCAATTCAACAATTTTGCTCAGCCTATGAATTTGAATTTTAATAGAAAAGATTTATAATGACCAACTTATATTTTGGCAGGGAATGCGCCCTATCCCACGGAATCTCCGTCACTGTAGCCATGGACGATTTAGTACTGTATCTAAAAACCATGGGTCTACCAATGGGTTTGACAGACACTCTGAAAAATCGGCGAGTCAAATGGCAGTGGCGGGGTTACGGGGGGGGGGAGGCGGGCTAGGGTCTAGAGCCCCCTTTGGGAAAGCTCCCCCTCCCCCGGTCGGGCAGGAAAACCACAATTCGTCGGAGAGAAAACACATTATATATATATTTTTTTTACATAGGCCTATTAATAGACTCTAAAATAGATTGAATAAGCCTTTGAAACCCCTAAATTGTCGAATTTGTGGGGGACTTCGCCCCCCTTGAACACTTTACAGATTTTGAGCAACCCCGACAACGTCCTCACTTCCCCCGTCGGGGACGTTGGACCCCCGTCGGGGAAATCTTGGCTCCGCCCCTGACAACATTATTTTGAAGTTAAATGTAGACAAGTGCAAACTATCTATATGAAGAAATCAGCTAAGATTCACTTAAGTTTATTGTCACAGACTCTTAAAGAACTTGAAGTAATAAAAGTGTTTGGTTTGTCAGAATCGACCTTAAATGAGAATCACTTGCGACTAATAGTATTTTCCAAAAAAGTAAATGGAATAATTGTTTATATTGAAATGCTTTGGAGAAATTTAATTATGTAAGCAGCTAATCCACACTACCACATATTATGTGACAAGTTTGTGTGATGGACCCATATGTGGGAATGCTGATGTAATATTACACCCAAGTATGGACACATCAAAGTTATTGTCACATAAACTTTGATAGTGTAGACAAGGTGAATTTACCTTCATTTACCTTTATTCACATTTTATGTGACAAATTTGTTTGATGTGCCCATATTTATGGGCATGATGACGTCATATTACACCCAAATATGAACAATTCACAGTTATTTGGCACATACAATTTGATAGTGTGGGCAAGGTAAATTTAATTTAGCTCTGTCCACATTATCACATTTTATATGACGCATTTGTGTGATGTGCCCATATATGGGCATGCGGATGTCATATTACACCCAAATATGGACACGTTACAGTTACGGTCACAACACTTTTGTAGTGTGAACAAGTTGAATTTACCTTACTTAAGCTCTGTCCACACTATCACATTTTATGTGACAAATTTGTGTGATGTGCCCATATATGGGCATGATGATGTCATATTACACCCAGATATTGGACACACCACAATTATTCGTCACATACAATTTGAAAGTGTGGACCAGGCTTTAGACAAAATTTATCTTAATCAATAAGGAATATGTTCACACGGCAGCTAATAGCAGGATCCAGATCACAGACATACGCGCTTACCCATGCGTTCATACAAAACAATCCCCGATCCAGATACCAAGATGACGATGATCGAATTACTAGCCAATAGGAAACTGGAAATTGATAATGCGTACGTGTGATTGGTTAATGATAGAAACGCGCTCAACTTGCCAACCAATAGCGCTCCCTAACCGTTAGCATATCCGGATCCTGGTAATGGTTAGCGCTAACAGATCGGGCATTCTCACACAGGTGCTAGCGGTTAAGCGCTAACGGTTAGCTCCCTATCCGCATAATAGGGCTCTCGTGTGAACCTGACCAAGGGGTATGTAGGCCCTACATTCTGTACCAATATATAGACTGGGTTCCACTCCCTAAGTTTGTCATAATGGTGAAAATTATTCAAAATATATCTATTTTGGCACCAATGGCATTCCATATCACTTATTTGCATGGCGTTCCATATTACTTTTTCTGTTTGTTTCCAAATTCAACAACTTAACAAGTTTCTCGACATAAACCGACGCTGGTGATTCTCTCCATAATTAGCTAATACTAGGAAAAATCAATAAATTAGAGACTTTAGATATGTTTAGCGAGAGGGCATGATACGTATCTGTAGACAATTTCCAAAACTGATCATGAAGCAACATAAGTACCTTGAGTTTGGCTATTGGCTGCTTTGGTTTTAAATATAAAGATACATTAAAATATCAGATAAGTATCAAAAGATCATGGGTTATGAGACATCCTAATGTAAATGAACCCAATCTCGATGTTTTTAATTCATATTTATATTTCATAGGGAATATTACTCCTCCCCTCCAATTCATGATGCGTAAATGTTACGATTATCTTATTTTGAAAAGTATCATGAAAATAAGAATAACAATGTAAATTACAATTAATGTGATATGTTCTTTTGGCTTTTATTAACTTGTTTGCAACTTCTTCTTTTTTCTGGTTTTTGATATGCAAAAAGAATTTCTTGCAATTTCAAGAGATGTTTTGAAAGCTAATATTCAATGTTTTATTTAGTTAAAAATTTATATTTATGTCACAAATATCTTGCTTGTTTAAATAGATCAAATTACTTTTTTAAAAGTTCAATGTTAAAATTTTATTTGACTTTTTTACAATCTGTAAGCTTGTTTGTTGTTGAAATTCTTGAAATAAAATAAAGGTAATTAAGGTATTCCATCGTACTAAGCCTCAGCAATGTGTGGTAGGAGACAAAGTCCATTCCACGTCGCCTTTTTAACCTCCCCAGTATATAAACCAAGTACCCACTTATATACTCCTAGTTGGAAAGAGACAAAATGTAGGTTAAGTGCTGTAGCGTCTCTATTGTTTGTATCGGTGTGGTCTCAGTGAATGAATGGCCCCGGAAAAAATGGCCCAGGAAAAAATGGCCCCGAAAAAAATGGCCCCAGTAAAAATGGCCCCAAATGACAAGTAGGTAAAAATGGCCCCAATGAAAAAAAAACAGTAATAGAAATGATTTTTTTTAAACCTTCAAATATTTAATTACTGTAATAAGCAAGAATTGAATCAATAACAAATACAGTTACACAACAGATGCAAATAATGTACTGAGAGATTATCAGAAAACAACGGCCATTGAACTTTTTTGATAGTTGAAATAAGTTTTAAAAACGTTATTCCACTAACAAAGTAGAGGAATGGCATACATACGGTACTTAAACTACCAAAATATGCAACTCATAGCTAACCACAAAATTCACTTTTGTTAAGTATCAAATGAAATAACTTTACATGTTATGAACAGTGCAAATAAACATTAGTTAAAGAATGTGGATCAATTGTGTGTTTGAATGACAAGTTCATGTATGGGAAAAGGGAGGCTAACTTTACTTCAACAGATGTTCTGCTTAGAGTTACTTCAAAGAAGTATTTGTTAATCAAATATTGTTTTTAAAGTAAACTGAATAATTAGGAATACATTTATTTAAGCAACTTATTTAATTGCATACTGGTTTCTACTCCCCGCCAAGTAAATTTAAGTGCCTAAAACTATACTAAATAATGTAAACTGAGATACAATATTATATACATAGTTATGTAAATATGGCAATTATGCTAAGAATTAAAAGGGCGTGTAATTGTGAGAGTAAAGTAATTATGGTAGGATCAAATGGTATTGCTAAATCCCAAAAACCTCCTAAAACACAATGTAGAAAACCAAACAATTCAATTGTGATTGACTCACTTGGTATATCAATAAGAAAATTAAATTTATAAGAACCTATTTTTTGGTTAAAATGTTGATTTTTTTTTTTTTTTGGTGAAAAAATACTTGCAAATACACCACAATCCTCCAAACACACTGCGAACCCCATCCAAACCCTTTAATTACGATTGTAGAACTCTCTTTTTCTAAAAAAAAAAAATAATAATAATTTGATGTTCATATAAACTCATTGTTTGTAGGGTTTACCAATACCCGGATTGGATTTCTGGAAAATTGTGATTCCGCTTCCTTGAAATTGACCACAAATAAATTATTTTAGTATTAATAAATGCGTGATTTATGTTGATTTATTGATTATGTTGTTGCTATTTTTTAACATTTAAATGGAAGAAAAATAAAAAGTGTTATTCATGGCTTTTTTTTAATCCTTGAATATTTTATCATTGAATATGAAATTTCTGCAAAAAGTAAAATGTAAATGGAAATTTATTTGATGTTAGATTCCTTTTAAAAGCTAAATTATTTCAGTTTAAAAAAATGCATATAATGATTTTTAAAAAAAATCAGTTTTAATACAGAATTTTATTATTGGGGCCATTTTCACCTACCTGTCATTTGGGGCCATTTTTACCGGGGTCATTTTTACCGGGGCCAGTTTTTCCGGGGCCATTTTTTCCGGGGCCATTCTTACCGTACACCGGTCTCAGTATATGGCCTTCATATATCCATACATTGTTTTCATTCGGATTAATACTACCTCAAATGTACTTTGCAATGTTTTATCTTGTTTGATTTCAATTGTGTTTTTGGCTTACAATAAGCATTTTTCACTGGAAATAAATTATATTATATCTATTCAAGTTTGTTGTATTCTTCCCGTTGCGCTATACAACGACTAAATTGGTGACCCCGAGGACACAAAGTGCGGAATTAAGGAGATTGTTGTAGAATTCTGAATCGCACTCACGCCTGTACAGTATACCGGTACGTTTCATGTAATTTTACTAATTTAAAATTGAAAGACATCGTTTGAGGTGATTTCAATCAGTTTACAACCTCACCCTTACATTGGCTCCCTGATTTGCTGTTTGATAGTGATAATGAAATGTCTAGTTACAAATTTTCGTTTTTCACACAAAGAATATACGAAATGCGGATCTTGTGAAATTTTTATAATAATATCGATTTATCCGATAATCTCTTTAAGTAATTGCCGGGCTTCATCTGTCATGAACTTCATCGGATCAGTCATTTGCGAATCAATATTACGTCCGAGGTAAGTTAGCTTTTCGCCTTGTATAAGAACGACTCTATCCGGGTGGGCGTTGTACGTTCTGTCTCTTATACACATCTAGATGTGTATAAGAGACAGCGAATTTAAAAGTATATAGGACCTACATGATTTAGAATTATACTATTATTAGCTTGGCCTATAACTAAGTAGGCTAACTATCATTAGGTTAAATCAATCAATCACTCAAATCAAATCAACATTTATTCACTTCCTTAAACCGGAATAGAAAAAGAAATTAGAATACACTCCTGTACCAACCACTAATGTAACAATCAACCACTTGTAACAATAACCACGCTGTTGTAACAAAAATCAACCACGCTGTAACATTAACCACTGTTGTAACAAATATTTACCACTGTTGTAACAATTTTATTAACCCCTATTGTAACAACGATTTAACTTCTAACGTAACAACGTACAATATAGAAGTCTTTAAGCTAAAAACTTACGTTCATTGTCCTATTAAAACCAAATTTCACATTATTGACGGTTGTGGCATTTTTTTAAATAATTATATACATTTTTTATATAGAAGTTAAAGATCAGATTTTAAAATGGTAAACAGCTCAATAGAGCCCAATATATATACATATATATATAATATATATATATATCGATTTATTCTGTGTTACAAATTCCTTTATCGATACTCTATGTGGAACATACGTGGCACCATACTTTACATCTTAACTATCATATATATATATATATATATATATATATAAATATATATATATATGACCTAACCTTTAACCTCAACATTAACAATCATAACATTTTAAAAATGCACAACCATCATTAATGTGAAATTTTGGAATGTACATAAGTTTTCGGCTTGGAGACTTCTATATTGTACGTTGTTATATTAGTGGTTAAATCATTGTTACAACAGTGGTTACATCGTTGTTACAATAGTGGTTAATGTTACAACAGTGGTTGATCAATGTTACAACAGTGGTTGATAGTTGTTACAACAGTGGTTAATGTTACATCAGTGGTTGATTGTTAGAGTGGGTGATACATACAATATATTGACGAGGGCCTTCCTTATAAGAAGGCACCCCGATTCGTCTGCAACTCAATCGGCAAACTTGAACCAGGTTCTAACTTCCCGACATCTGTCGCCGATAGATGGTGAGCGATTATATGGAAACCGAGTTAGAATACAGTAATAAACTGTGTACTACCAGGGAATAGTTAACTGTTCCCTGGTACTACCACATTGGAAGTTAACCAAATTAGTATTAGTACACTTTCGATCACGTAGATCCACGCAGTCACAGGCATACTCGTGGGGACGGTACGGCCCGGTGTGTGTGCGGAATTAAGGAGATTGTTGTAGAATTCTGAATCGCACTCACGCCTGTACAGTATACCGGTACGTTTCATGTAATTTTACTAATTTAAAATTGAAAGACATCGTTGGAGGTTATTTCAATCAGTTTACAACCTCACCCTTACATTGGCTCCCTGATTTGCTGTTTGATAGTGATAATGAAATGTCTAGTTACAAATTTTCGTTTTTCACACAAAGAATATACGAAATGCGGATCTTGTGAAATTTTTATAATAATATCGATTTATCCGATAATCTCTTTAAGTAATTGCCGGGCTTCATCTGTCATGAACTTCATCGGATCAGTCATTTGCGAATCAATATTACGTCCGAGGTAAGTTAGCTTTTCGCCTTGTATAAGAACGACTCTATCCGGGTGGGCGTTGTACGTTAGTCCGAAGGCGTTGTCCATGTTATCGCAAACCAATCTAATTTTTGTCTCAGAGAATGGGTCACATGTAAATATGGAGTAATATTCTTCATCCATCTTCATCAAGTTCCTAAAGTAAAGAAAATAAGTCAATTCTATGCGCTTTTTAACCTGAATGAGCGAGGTCGAATCACATTAAATTGACGGAAACACAAATTAAGTACTATTACAGGCTAATAATACACTGTTTGCAATAATTTAAAATTGATGAAGATACGGAAGAGTAATGGAACATAGTTTATCTATATTTCGCTCATCGTTAGATTAGTTGACAGAGCATTATCCACTAAAGACCCACCCACCCCTTTTCTTGGATTGTTGAAGATCCCACAAAAAGAAGGACATCTGATATGTTGTCATAAATATAATGTATTGTGTTTTTATGAGACACGCGCGTATTCCTGGCCCCGCCTATTAAACAATACACTATGTTCTGATTGGTCAGTTGTAAAGATGTATTGAGACTCCGTGAGGTTCATTGTGAAAGTAAAAGTAAACGGAGAAACCCTGCCAGACTATCAAAAACATGTGATGCAATAAATGCTCAAATAAGCGCCGCTCTCGAATAAGCATCATTAAGCGGCGCTTAATTGAGACATTACCTTGTGTGTAATGAAACACTAGGGTTTTATATACAATGCATCAAACGTCAAAATAAATAAATAACACACTGAAGACACATGTATTTCATTAATATAAACATTTATTTACGATGACTAGGACCCATCCTAGGCTTATTGAACTATGGGAATTAACACGAGAGCGGCAACGGAAAGCGCCATGAAAATATTGTTTTTATAAGTGCCGCTCTTGAATAGGCCTATGCGCCTATCTGGAATAAGAGAACGAATATACTCGCGTATAAGGCGACCCGCCTACCACCTATAAGACGACCCCCCGAGTTTAAAAAGATTTTTGAACGATTTCTGTATGTCGGGCGTATAAGACGACCCCCGTTTCGACGTCGGGATTTCTTCTTCTTTTTTTTTTTTATACATTTTACGGTCTTGGTACATCAGCTGGTCAAAAGTAGAGCCAAAAGTTAGGCTACTCTTGCAAATAATATCAGTTTATGAGAGTTTAAATGTTCATCAAAATCATATCTACCTAATTTAAAATTGCGTTCATTCATACTTAATATTAGTAGCTTCATTGCGTATAAGACGAACATCAAATCTAAAATATGGATGTCGTGCGTATAAGACAACCCCCTGGTTCTCGATCGTAATTTTCTATTTCAATCCTCGTCTTATAGGCCTATTATAAGATGAGGAAGGATTGGTAGGCATTGACTACAACGATCATTAGTGACATGTTTGCAACACGGCAGTAGACTCCACAAGGGCAATCACCTCCCAATTGAAATGAGGGGAAAATTAAAAAGTAAAATTAATTCACTGTCGTGTGCTGTAATTGAATTTTAAACTTTAGAATAGGACTTAAAAAAAGAGAAAGAGAAAATGGTTTATATTTGGCATTTTCCCAAGATTTAGCAAAAATTGGTCATCTTCCCAGTTAACACGGGCGCTTGAAGTTCTTTAACGGCGATAAGTTAATGAAGAAAAAGCTAGTCAGTGCATGGTATCCTAAGCATGGAATGAAAAGCAGTGAAAAGCGTCTGAAATCTAGGGGGACGGGGGAAAGTTCCCGACGAGAGCAAAGTGGACGTGGTCGGCGTTGATTAAAATGTTTCGAAAGCGGTTCGGGGGCGGAGAATGTCATTAAACAGTGGTGCCGTCAGCATTTCACAGATTGTCCATCGTTCCCTAAGATTGTCCACACCCACCCCAACTCCCGATGGGAAAGAGGTTTAAAAATTAATGTCGGGTCTAGAGGCATGGCCAGCAGCCAGCTGTATCTGGCTTAGAAAATGAATCTAATTATTGATACCCCGACGGGTGAATCTGGGCCCAGCTCGCCCATCCTCTTTGAATTGTAGAAACCACTATTTTTACTTTGTTACTATGGATAAATCATAATATTTAGAACAGGTAGTGCAGGTGTTTCTGGTGGGAGCGTGGCCGGTGTCGGGGGGTTGAAATGATTAAAATGTATATAAAATGTATGTTGTGGGTTTCAATTTTCGACTTTGGTTGTGTCATCGTCGGAGGTGTTTGTGTTGATTGTTTTGAATATTGTGATTTATTATTTTCATTATTGATATTATTATTAACATGTGAAGCGATTTCGTTTAGATAATTAAGTGCTAAATGCAAATCTTCCAGGGGGTAAAACCCCCCTAGAATCCCCCAACGGGGATGCCTGGCTGCCCCCAGCCAATGGCAGCGGATACCCCTCTCCCTTGGCCTTGGACGAAGGTCCTCGTTGTTGTAAATTGTCACGACAATACGGTTTTCGCATATTTTATAGAGCTCTCTAAAGTTTATCAAAATCGAAAACCCCTCGCTCGGAAGGATGATTACGTCCCTTTTCACAAACTCGATTGCGTTTATTACAACACAAGATTCTAGCGCATGCGTAGAAACTACACAATTTTGATACTGCGGGTTTACGAAAGGGCCAAATGCTGCTCCCCTTGTCATTAAGCTACTGCAGACGACGCGTCCAACTTACATTGCTGCCTTTTTTCTGTCTTCTATCGTAGTGTGCTGAGAAATATTACTTAGAAAGGAACCAAGACTCCACTTATCGTTAGGATGAGCTTCCTTCAGATATATACATAAAAAATCCACCGTGTCTTTATAGTCGGCATACAGATTGTAGAATCCGCCGCCCACCACGATGGCCTATGTTAAGAAAAATGACATTATTAATAAAGAAATGGCGGGAATCTAGGCCTAACCCTATGCACAAAATAAGCCTCAGCCCGCCTCGCGATGTTTTAGGTAGACGGTATAATTTATACATGCCCCCTCGGCTAAACTCAGGGGCAGATCCAGCCTGCCAGAAAAGGGAGGGGGGGCGCAGCCTGCGAGCGAAGCGAGCAGCCTTAGGCTGGGGCAAGGGGGCCGCCTAGTGCCCCCGGCGAGGTCCAGGGGCAGAGCCCCTGGTGGGGGTGCAAGGGGACGAAGCCCCCTTGAAGCCCAGCACATTTGAAGAATATGAGTCAATTTTGACTATCTAGCATGGTAGTTTTCAGTAACAAATAAAAAAAAAATAGGTGCATGTCTTTTAAAAGAAAATTTGATTCTTAGAAGGCGGGAAATAAGCTTTCCCGACTTCTGAGGTGTCTTTTAATTACTTTTTATTTCTTCAAAATTCGATTTTCCCCTCTTGAAAATGATTTAATGAATCAATGAATTCCGAAGAAAAAGGGTGTCCGGGTTACCCCGGAAATATTTCTATTTCTAGAATGCGGGAAATGAGCTTTCCTGACTTCTGAAATGTCTTTTAAATGACTTTTTAAGTTTTTCAAAATTTAAGGTTTTTCCTCTTGAAAACGGTCAGGTAAATTTTTCTCATGTCTTATTTTATGCGTGTATACATACATACATAAATAAATGAGTAGTTGCACGCCTATTCTTTTTTCCATGAATCGATAAATCCCCAAAAAAGAAAGGGTGATCCAGGGATTATCCCCTGGGAAAATTTTGATTCCTAGATGGCAGAAAATAAGCTTTCCCGACACTCTGGAAGTGCGTTTTAATGACGTTCTTCAAAATTCTAATTTTCTTATTGTAACATTAAAAAAAAAATCAGCTCACGCGTCCTGAAAAGTTAGGTCTAGAATTTTTTTTTCTTTTTTTTTTTGTTGGCTAAGGGAGGGGTCAGGACGCATTACCCCCTCCCCCAGATTCGCAAATGTGAATCGCGAGAAAATTTAACTCGGTTGAGGACTGGATAAAAATTCTCTTTCCCATCCTTTGCCTCCTTCCCTCTTTCATTTCTTGCATTTCTTTCCAATCATACACTGCATTTCTTTCCAATCTAAACACTGTGGGTGAAAGCTTTTTTTCCAAAAAAATAGGGGGAGGGGCGTACGCCCCTTACATCTAATCCCCATTCTAATATTTAACAAAGGGCCCAGAAATCAATTAAGCCAATCAGCTGTTGAATGTATAGGTCTCAAGTCACTCACCCAATGG